CTATAGACGTTCCTACAATTTCTTCCCCTGCTTTTTGTCAGGATGAAAGCCACTGGTACACTATCCACGAGGCTCAGACCTAATGCTGCCACCACAGTTTCTTAGAGCAATATCAGAACCCTGAGGAGCCTGTCTGAAATGCATATCCTCACTCAAAACCAGACCTACTAAGTCAGAATCGCTGGGAGTTGAGCCCAGGAATTTGTCTGCAACAAGTTCTCCAGGTGATACTTTTGCGTGCTCAAGTTTGAGAACCACTGTGTTAGAGCACAGAGGCAATGTCCAGTGAAAGTGCTCATAGCCAAAAAATCAAGGAAAGTGAAAAGAGGAACTGATGCATCTATATTGTTATGGGAAAGATTCTAAGACCATGCTAAAATTCTAAGAAAGAAGGGCAAGGGTTCTATAGATTCTGGGTGACTATAGAAACAGAAATCTGTAAATATCTCAAACCTTTTTTTTTCTTATCAAGAGGATATATAGAATAGCAGGGAAAATATCATTTCAAGAGGAGAGATCAGGAGACTTATAGAAGGAGAATAATGTATCTTCTAGGGAAGTAAGCACTGGAGCTAGTATCCCTGGATTCCAGAACTCCCAGGACTGTGGCTTAGGCAACCAGGTTGAGCCACTCCACCCTTAACCTGGAGAAGATAGAAAGCTCCCTTCCTACACAAGGAGCTAACACTTCCTCTCCAGGGCAATCTCATGTTTTTAGGGCATGGGAGGATGTTAGAAGTGAGGACTATTTTCCCGAATAAATTCCATCTCCAATTCATACTTCAGATATGAGGACTCTAGCCAATCAGTAGAATTCTGGAGTGAAAATATTACTGTTAGTTTACCAGCCCTCATGCGAATCTGAGATGAATGACTATGTTAAAAGTAAAATTCACTTTAGCAGGAAATGGGGTTGCTATTCAGAGTATATCTTTAACAATATCTGCTGAAAAGAAATATTTTGTTAAGTAATAATTTTATTAAAAGGCCTCAACTTAAACCTTTTGAATAAGAAACAAAAGAGGGACAGTTTATAAGAGCAATTTCCTCACACCCATCTTTAAATGAAGCACCTGCCTGATGAAACATCTCTCTCTGCTGCCTTCCTTCTCTGATGTCAACTCAGTTCCCTGGGTGAGCAGTTCTGGAGATGCCCTCTGGAAGCTTGGCTGTGTGAAGCAGAAATGGCTTAGGAGGAAACAAACCAGCATTGGTGAGACAGATTTACAGCACACAGAGAGAGAGAGAGAGAGGCATAGTAAGGCTATAAATAGACACTGAAATAAAACTGGCTTTCTTTGGGAGGATGGCTGCTTAGGATTTGTATTCGACAATAAGATTGACTAGACATTTTCAGCACAATCAGAGAAGAAGGGAAAATCTTTACCTCATGGTTGCCGTGCAGTTTTCAGCTGTTCTGAAGGGCTGGGTTCAGGCTGTCTGCTCTTCAGAAATCTTCCTCCTCTGCCCTCAGTAAATGCCAAAGAGACTTCTATATACAAGGAACATCTGGTTCCTTTTGGTTTTCCTGCAGCTGACGTTACAAACGGGAAAGTGAAACTAGAGAGTGAAGTTCATGGGACTCTTTAGAAGGAAATGAATCTTGAGTGAGGGCCAAGCCCAACTAGTTGGGCAGTGAGTGAGTCAGAGGAACTCCTGTTTTTGGAATGTATTGATGCCCTAGATCTGTGAGCTCAAGTGAGCACTGCTTGGAGAAGGATACATTTATGAAACACCTAATTACTGTGTTAACCTAACCTCACTGCTCACCCTTATCACTAATATGACTGGAAGACCACACCATAAGGAGCAGTTACCTAACTTCCACAGGGCAGGGGATTTTAGTCTGTTTCATTCACTGCTGAATTTCCCATCCCTGAAATAATACCTGTACATTGCATGGTATGGCATTCCAAAAGCAGTTGTTGAGTGAATCTATACCTGATTAAAAGCATGGGCTCTGATGTCAGTCCATCTGGATTCGAAACCAGGCTTTATTTATGTGCTTGTGAAACTCCAGGGGCAATTACTCAGTGTCTCTGCTGTAGTTTCTTCTACTGTGAATTGTGAATAATACTGATTCACAGTGATGTCTAGAGGATGAAACAAGAGAATACATGGGATGTCCTTTGAATAATGCCTGAAACCTAATAAATAAATGTTAGTTTCTATGATAATTATTAACTGAAATCATTACCCAAAGAGATCAGAGGAAAAAACTTTTGCTGTTTGCCTTTTCTGTAGCTTTATCTCCTCTGACAATCCATGATTCATCACGATTACTGACCAAAGCCAGACAGTTTCTAACATCTCTCCACATTCTTGGCTTCCCCAAGCCCCATAACATTTCTCTCCCCACTTTTATTGATATGTAATAATTTACATATGGGGTACATGTGAGCATTTGTTCATGCGAAGAATGTGTAATCATCAAGTCAGGGTAACTGGGGTATCCATCATCTTGAGTGTTTATCTTTTTTTAAAATTTTTCTTATTTTTATTTTTTTTATTTCA